GACCAGTCAGAGAAAGACACGTATCCAGTAATAATGACGGAGACACGTGTCACGCGGAGAATCCTTCTCAAGTAATCATGACGTTTATCGGAGAAGCGAAACGGCAGTTGCAAATAACCGTCAAAATATGCCTCGGGAACCGGCGAAATGCCATCCGATACTCACCCGAACAGCATTCGGGCAATAATCTTCTACTTCCTTATGCACTCACTACCGTTCGAGACATAGGAAGTGGGGGACTAGTGTTGGGATATTAGGTCCAGGCCCAATATCCCTAGGCCCAAATCCGGGAAGAAGCAGTGGGCCCAAGGCAGTCCAAAGAATTCCCGAACGGCATTCGGGGTAGAACTTATACTTGGAACATTCCGGGAAGCAATTATGCTAAAGTAACAAGGGCCAGATACCGATCGGCGTTCGGGATAATTCCATTACAAGATAACACCTATTGCGGGGTCCCACCCACCGAACACCTTGCCCGAACGGGCGGTCAGCAAGTGGAAGCCGCATTTAATGCTGGATCATGGCAGCCGCAAGTGGGGGCATGAGTGCTTACATGGCAGAGGTGACAGCCTACCAGATTCGGCCACGTGTCCACCTTACCCATCCCCATTTTAGTATAAATACCCATGTTTAGATCATTGTAAAGGGTTAGCATTTTGATACTCAGAGCTTAGCAATAGATTTACATCTCTTATTCTTATATTCTTATAATCATCTACCGTTCGGGTAGTCCCAGTGTAATCACATATTTATTGAATACCAGTAAGCTCCTGAGTTGAACAAATATCTCACTGTTTTATATTTTATACACTTTCCAACACGACCAAATATCCCTACAATATCCAAGGCTTGTGTTGGGCTTTCGGATCTTCGGGAATAAACCTCAACATCACTGATAGATTTAAAGTCTTGGAATCTTAGATTGATCCAGTCGTACTGAGCTTTAGATAAAAGGACCTTTTGTTGGTGGCCTTCCATATTCCATTCGAAATATTTTTGCCCGGACAGATCAAGAGCATCGAATTCTCTTTTGATTATATTTGCCATGATATACTACAAAATTAATTGATGTAAATTATGACTAGCTATGCAATAATTATTTTAAAAATATTCCTTAAGTATATATAAAGCATTTGTGAGTAAGTAAACAATTTTTAAGTATCTGTCCAATACTTAAACGGAATATACTAACCGCATATGTATATAAAACTTATCTTGAGCACTTGTTATTATATATTCCGTAACATTATTTTAATTGAACAAAATAATGGTCATTTAACGTGACTATTCCTGGTTGTACAAAAAAATCATCTTGATAATGGCCACCATGTTGTATTTAATTTAGACAATCATGAACCCACTATATGCTTTTATTTAATTTTATGAATTAACTTTGGATGTGCATCAGTACATAACTATATCATTAGTGAATTTTTGGTTTTATACGTGGTATACATATCAGTATGTATATCAGTACATAACGATATCAGCATACGTAATTTACACATGCATAAACATCATGTTCGAATAAAATGATAATTCATATACAAAGATTAGAGAAATTAAAATTCTGAAAATTGTATGCAGGTGTAGGTCCGTATGCACTGGTATCACAAGTGAATTTTATTTTACTTTATTATGTTTTGTTTTAACTGATACAAACAAAAACCACCGAACAAACAACTCAATAACGTTTAATGTAAGAGCTACGTGGCTAATAGAACATGCCCTATATGGTATGCAACGTCTTACTTACTAGTTACTAGACATCTGTTACATGGTGTTACATGGAAAAATGTATCGACTGAGCATGTACTTTTAATAAAGCTTTTGTTTGTTAGTGAATGTGTCTCACAAATTAAAGTAAACGGTCAGCATGCATGTAAATTATCTGACTTTTGTGTGTCATATATATGAGGTGTATGAGCTCTATTTATTTAGGTTTTGACAGACATGAGCCGCTTAGTAGAATAACGATCGAGACTATGAAAATACTCCATAGTTTATACACGGGCTAAATTTGCAATGGAGCTTGTGTATCATTCTTTCTTCTTGAATTGTTCTACCATTTCAAGCTTGTGTGTCATCGTGTATTTTTTCTTTAGGTTACCTTTATGTTGTTTTCATAAATAAGTGTGTAATATATGTACTTTTATGTTAAATAATAGGAAAAATTGAAAATATTAATCCCAACTATTGCTGGTCCGCCGATAATAATCCCAACTATTGATTATTTTTGTATAATCCCAACTATATGGACCATCCGCCAATAATGGTCCATTACCAGATATTACCTCCTATAAAAAGTGAATTTTAAATAGAAATTAAGTGTAAAATTAAAAGTTGGGATTATTTATAGGGATTGCTTGTTATATCTCTTCTCATCCACTTTAGAAACTACGAGAATTTATTTATAGGGACCATTATTGGCGGAAGGTCCCTAAAGTTGGGATTATTCTGAAATAATCGATAGTTGGGATTATTATAGGCGGACCATCAATAGTTGGGATTATTACTATCAATTTTTCCTAAATAATATGCATAATTTGTGATCGAGCTTATGTTTATTTACATATATTGAAGATATGGATCAAGAATTATGTCTGATAGACAGCGCCACAATGCACACCATTTTGAGAAATAAAATACGTAGTATATTTTTCTCAAATGACTTTAGTTGAAGCTAAAGTCAATACAATATCAGGTGTTGCAAAGCTCATTGAAGGCTCTGGGAAAGCATATGTGATGCTCCCTAACGGGACAAAAATAATTATAAATGACGCTTTATACTCTAGCTAATCGCGGAGAAATTTATTAAGTTTTAAAGATATGCGTCAAAATGGTTATCACATAGAAATCATGAATGAAAATTGTTAGATATAAAGCCCTACTTGTTGCCCAAGGTTTTTCTCAAATGCCGGGAATCGATTATGAAGAAACCTATTCTCCAGTAGTTGATGCAACTACATTAAGGTTTCTCATTGGCATGTCTGTTTTTGAAAGGCTGCAAATGCGCCTTTCAATACAGACATATGGTTCACTTGATACAGACATTTATATGAAAGTTCCTGATGGATTTAAAATGCCTGAAACTTATAGCTCGAAACCTCGAGACATGTTTTCCATTAAATTACAAAAGTCATTGTATGGACTAAAACAATCTGGACGAATGTGGTATAATCGTCTCAGTGAATACCTTCTCAAAGAAGGATATAAGAATGATCCAATTAGTCCATGTGTTTTCATTCGGCGATCAAATTCGGGATTCGCCATAATTGCAGTATATGTAGATGACTTAAACATTATTGGAACTCCCAATGAAATTGAAAATACTGCAAATTATCTTATGAAAGAATTTGAAATGAAAGATCTCGGGAGAACCAAATTTTGTCTCGGACTTCAAATTGAGCATTTGAAGAATGGAATTTTCATTCATCAATCCAATTACACCGAGAAAGTCCTGAAGAGATTCTATATGGACAAAGCTCATCCTTTGACTTCACCAATGGTCATTCGATCTCTCAACATACACGATGATCCATTCCGTCCCCGAGAAGACAACGAAGAAATAATCGGTCCCGAAGTCCCATATATAAGTGCTATTGGAGCTTTAATGTATTTAGCTAATAATACTAGACCAGATATTGCATTTTATGTAAATTTATTAGCTAGGTACAGCTCATGTCCAACAAGGCGTCATTGGAACGGGATCAAGCACATATTCCGTTATCTCCGTGGTACAACTTATCTCGGCCTATTCTACCACAAAGATGAAAAGGCCGCTTTAATCAGATTTGCAGACGCTGGATATTTATCTGATCCTCAAAAGGCGAAATCACAAACCGGGTACGTATTTACTTATGGTAACACCGCAATCTCTTGGAAATCTATGAAGCAGACATTGACAACTACATCATCATATCATTCGGAGTTAATTGCACTATATGAAACCGGAAGAGAATGTGTATGGTTGCGATCTATGATTCAACACATCGAGAATGAATGCGGTATGAAGCCTATTACTGTTTACCCTACTGTGATCTACGAAGATAACACTGCGTGCATAGCTCAGATTAAAGAAGGCTACATCAAAGGAGACAGAACGAAGAACATATCACCAAAATTCTTCTCTACTCACGACCTTGAGAAAGAAGGAACAATCAACATTCAACGAATCCGATCATGTGAAAATCCGGCTGATCTTTTCACCAAATCATTACCTCCGAAGAAGTTCATAGAACTTGTACAGAAAATCGGCATGCGCCGTCTTCAAAATTTATGTTAATTCCAGGGGGAGTATTTGAATGCACTGCACTCTTTTTCCCTTCATCAGGTTTTTATCCCACTGAGTTTTTCCTGATAAGGTTTTTAACGAGACAATACATCCAAATACAACGACATTATATGTCGTAAGTTTTACCCCTTAATTTTCACACTCATTTTCACAATAAGATAACAAATACATATTCAAGGATGAACATTCAAGGGGGGTATTGTAAAATCCTGGGGATGACAAGTGTGAATTGTTCATCCTTGTCATTAGGACACCTAGCTATTCATCATCCTTGTAATGATCCTTGTAACCTAGTTAGAACAGGTGGTTCAATTTGTTAATGCAACCAAATCTGTAGACTCATCATTTAGGTGACTAATCATCAAGCTCAAACACTATAAATAGGGGCTTGATGAAGCCTTGTAAATTAATTCAAAAACTGAGAGATTTCAGAGATTAAGAAGAAGTTATTTAGAGTTTATTATCGATATATATACAATCCAACTTGAGGTACACACTTTCATTCACATACCTACACACACATTTTTGTGAAGAGTTTTTATTGTCTGTACACAGGCCTAACATATTTTCAAATACGTCATGTCTGTATACAGACAAAAAAAAACTCTTCACAGACACGAGTGTGTAGGTGTGTATGAAAAATGTGTACCCATAGAATTTTTGATATATACTTCGTATCTCTTAAATCTGTTCTTCTCCCTTTCAGTCTTTCACAACAGACAGAAATGACTGTTTTCAGTTCTCAGATGCGCTGAGCAATTTCTTCCTGAGTTACTTTGAGTTGCCTTCCCAGTTTAGATTGGCAGTGACTAATGGCGAACAGAGCTCATGCCGAAGATAAAACTCTACAATCCATCTGCTACAAACGCGGCTCTCTCCAGCTCCTTGATCAGGTCCTTTTTCTCTCTCTTTCTTGTGCGCCTCTCCTTGTTTTCGAACTGATTTTTGGGTTTGCCGTATAGGGATACGTTGTGATTTTAATTTAACTCTAGGATTGAATTGTTTATTTCTTTATTTTATCGAAAAGACCGATTTTAGAAAAGTTATGGTGTCTACAATGGACAAAATGTCAAATATCGGGGGATGCTTAGCTTTGAGATAGATGAAAATTTCCAGAAAATGCTAAGTACTTCTGAAATCAGAGGAAAATGTTTACAATTTTTTTCATTGTGGGTACATGAATGCTTATGTGCTCCCTCAGTCCCATTTTGGTTGTCCTACTTTCCTTTTTGGGTTGTCCCAAAATGAATGTCTTGTTTCCTTTTTGGCATGAAATATGTGGTTCTTATCAATTCACTTTATTTTACTCAAATCTTAACCACAACTTTTACTTAACACTTTATTAATAATCGTGACAAATTGAAAGTGGACAACCATTATGGGAGGGAGGTAGTATACTATAGTATAGTCGTGGATTTGTGGGTCATCCCAACTAAGATTCTCAATGCCGTAATGAAAGTTACTCCAACTTTGTTGAATATGCACTATGATTCTATGACATCTTTTTTCCTTCATATATATTGTTTGTGGAAAAAGGATTGCTAAGGAAGAATAGAACTTCATGGTGACCAAGAGAGCTAACTTTCCTTCCTAAAATGAGCAGAGAGCCTCAGAAGTAATTTAAAGTGGATTGTGATATCTAGGAAGGAAAGGGGACTTGCTCAGTTGCTCCATGGAATTGAGCTAGATAAGCTTTTATGAAACTTGATGAGTTTGATCTTGCATTTCACATCCCTTAGTCACATCATGATGTAAACTTAGGACTTGACTCCACATGCATTACTAATATCTGTTTACACACCTTGATGTCATCCTTGACTCGCTGTATGTGATTGCGCCTAATTTACCAAGGATTGTCTTATGTTTCTCTATGAGCAGAGGAAGCTTCCATTAGAGACAATTTATTTGGATATAAAAACTGCACAAGATGGATGGTAAATTTTGTAACATTTATCACTTCTTTTCACTTACATTATCAATCTTGTAATGAGACATGACTATAACTGCTAAGCCGCTACCTCAACTCATCACCATCTTATACTACTATCCATGTAGATTGAAATATCTTATAATGATGACTGTTTTGGAATATTATCTCAATGTTTTTTTGTACGAACATTGTGACAGACAGGTTGTGTAAAATTTTGTCACCATGCTTTCTGTATGAATTACTGTGGTAACTAATTTTAGAAAAATGATTAATCCTACATGCACCAATTGCAGTTAGTTGGGATTAAAGTGATGATGATGCACATTGTTTACTGCTAACATCTGTGACCTCGTCCACATCACTACATCTTGAGACTTGAGGATATTAGGATATTGAAATGGTCGAGTACCCTCATTGGCATAGTCAGGACCAAAAAGTTTTGAATTGGGGTAGGACAAAAACAGTTCATTCATATAAACTTATAAAAAAATACCCATGAACAAAAAAGACTTTACTAAATTTGGGGTGGGTCCGGGGCTCCGATCCCAGGTTTGCCCCCCCACTCCTGTTTTACATTGTGCAGTTGTGCCATTACAAGCATTTATTTATTTATTTATTATGGGAAAACCTTTATTTGCTATGCATTAGGAACCCATCAAAAGTTTCCTTAATGCATTACGATGTAATTATTAATTTTCATGTGTGTGTGCATTAGGGATGCAATAAAAGAAATGGTAGTCCGGGGTGCACCTGCAATTGCTATAGCCGCTGCACTCTCTTTGGCTGTAGAAGCATCTAACATAGAGGCCTTTAATGGGACAGCTCAAGATGCAAAATTTTTCCTTAGCCAGAAATTAGAGTACCTTGTCTCAAGGTAACTGTTGGGAAGGAGCTTTTTTATTTGTATAATTCCTTGAATTTTATTTTCTGATACTCTGCTAAATGGATCATAGAACAGAGTTTTCAACCATTAATTCTTTGCAGCCGCCCAACAGCTGTTAATCTGTCAGACGCTGCCACAAAGCTTAATGAAGTTATTCAGAAGGCGGCTTCAACTGCTTCAGAGGCCAGAGCTGTTTTCGAGGTACATACGGATGGCTGTAGTTTCACAATACACCCAGCAGCTACTCCATAATTTTACGCTATAGCTTGTTTGAATGGGGGTTAGGGGGGGAGCGAGGGGATGGTTGATTTTGTTTTACTAATTCATCTCTATTTGTTAGCCTTTGACTAGAAAATAATTATATGTTGGGTTACATAATGTATTTATGTTTATCATTTCACCTTCACTTTCTTCCAAACATCTAAATGTAAGAATAATTTATAAAAATTAATTCCCCCCCCCCCCCCGATGAAATCCCCCAACTAAATAGGGTATTAAGAGGTGCATTATATACCTTATGGATTGTAAAAGTGTACTATCTCTATTCTCAACAAGTATAAATGATCTTAATATGTGTTCATAATCCTTGAAAGTCTGATAAAATTAAAAGGAATAAGTGATCTTACCCTTACCCTTACCCTTACCCTTACTCTAACTCTTATTTTTTTTAATGGGATAAGTATCATATAGAGCTGTGTAGAACATACTTGCTATGCATTAGTTTGATTTATATCTCATTTAATGCATCTTAATCACAGGCTTATATTGAGGCTGCTGAAATTATGCTGAAGGATGATGTTACTTCCAATAAAGCAATTGGGTCACATGGAGCTTCTTTTCTACAAAATCAGCTAACAGACTCTGGGAAGATATCAATATTAACCCATTGCAACACTGGCAGGTACTCCTCCATTAAAATGGGTAAAGAGTTCTTTATGGAGTTACTCTGATGTTTTTTAACCAATTGAATTAAACAGCCTGGCAACAGCTGGATATGGAACTGCTCTGGGTGTGATTAGGGCTGTCAATACTTCTGGAACTCTGGAAAGGGCTTATTGCACTGAAACACGCCCTTTCAACCAGGTGAACTTGTATGTAATTATGTATAGCCCATGATGCAGGGAAACAGCATAACTACTTAACTACCTATTTTTTAAAAATCTAGAAAACGGAAATGGGGGAACATACAGTTATAAGCAATGTAGGCTTAGAGTTGCTTATGTTAGTATATGTATATGTATTTATTTGTGTGTGACATCAAAACCAAACACTAAATTCATAATTTTTTAAAACAATAATTGCTCCCTGCTGTCATATTTGAACAAAAGCATCTGATTTTTTTTATTATACTTAATGTAATTTGTCAAAAGAATAAAATGTTACAAACAAGTTAAGTTTGTTAAATTTAGTTACACCTACTTATAAATTTCAAAATGTAGCTAAAATTAATTATTTCTGAGCCTTAGCTCACTAAAGGTAAAAGTTGCATTTTGATGTGATATGAGTTTTTTGTGACAGAGATAGTAGAAGCTTAATATGTAATGTTGTCAAAAACTACTTCCATGGTTTTTTTCACAAAAATGTGTTTCTGAACTTTAAAACAATCAGAAATGGTCCCAAATGTTTCACGAATTGCATAAAAAGCCCCATAGTACTTGAGGAAAGTTTCTGAGAATTGATTTCTGAAATGACAAATGCTGCTCTTAGAAGTTTCCATGAATCATAGCATGTGGATTGTACTGTATCTCATCATAGCTTGTGGCTTGTACTGTATCTATGCTCTAGTCGTATGCCTGAAGACAGTGTACACTGTAAGTCCGCAAGGTACATTATTTTACCAAGTTCTGAATTTATATATCAGGGGTCCAGACTGACAGCATTCGAGTTGGTTAGTGAAAACATTCCCGCCACCCTTATAGCAGATTCTGCTGCAGCTGCTTTGATGAAATCTGGTCGTGTGAATGCTGTCATTGTTGGAGCTGACCGTGTTGCTGCAAACGGTGCCTTATTAATATACTCTTCTGCTTCTTTAAGAAAACAGCAACATCATTCACAGTGAAGAAATTGCATGACATACTCTTAGTCTTATAGGGTACGTTTGGAACCAGGAAAATGCTAGGGAAAGAAAATAAGTAAAAATAGAAGGGAAACATTGAAAGAAAGAAAATTTGAGGGAAAAAAATATAAAAATGCATTCGAACTCAACTAATCAATTGTAGATATTTGTTCGATCCTCAAACTCATTCTTTATATATTTCTATTATGTAAGAAATGTATGACAAACAAAAATAATGGACAAAAATATGAGTTTTACATCATTGTGACCACAATGTTATAAGTGACAGTAGTGACCATGGTGATGTTTGGTTTTACTATGCAGTGATCATGATGATACTTGCGCAGTGATTGTAGTGACCATGTGGTCATATTTTTGTCCATCACTTTTGCTTAATTAGTATGTGGTATAATTGGAAAAGACTCATTACAAAAGATAAGAAATCTAAAAATTTGTAAAATCAAGGCTCTTATCAAATTTGATATTCCTTCTTATTGTAAGGTAAATACAAATATAGAAACTCATCTTGTATAGCATTGTTTTGCTTTTCTTTACCATTCATCGGGCTCCACACATTGCCTTAGGTGATACCGCGAACAAGATTGGGACCTACAGCCTTGCTGTTTGTGCTATGCATCATAATATACCATTTTACGTGGCTGCTCCCCTGACTTCTGTTGATCTATCCTTACCTTGTGGAGAACAAATTGTGATAGAAGAAAGATCTCCTAAAGAGCTGTTGAATACACATGGAGGACTGGGTGAACAAATTGCTGCTTCTGGTATTTCTGTTTGGAATCCAGCTTTTGATGTTACCCCAGCAAATTTAATAAGTGGCATAATCACTGAAAAGGTCAGCTGCTTATCTGTACGAAGGTAGTGTTTAACAATAAAAGTGATTTTTAAATAGTAGAAGTAGGAGTGCTGTTATAAAAAAAAACTGTTTTAAGCACCCTTCCTTTGCTTTGAGCTTTTAACTCAAAGTGTTTAATTTAAAGCTAAGCAGAAGAACAAATTTTTCTTAGAAGTAGAAGAACTAACTTAAATATACGGAGTACTATTTTTAGCTTTTCATAGAGAAAAGTTCAAATCTGCTTTCCATCAATGGAAACACTCTCTAAAAACATATTAATTGCTTAGCTATTTGTGTGGTTAATGTGAGTGCATAATCCGAACAGGGTGTTATCACGAAAGACAGGACCAATGCTTTTGATATTGCTGGCTTTCTTGTGCACAAGGCCTCGGGAAATGTATAATATCTGTGTTGGGGAAGAAGGTTTCTATTGTTATCTTAATAATGACTAGGTGATGTATGCTTTTTAAATAAACTATTATCCTATTAAACATCACTTCATGTTTTGTACTTGACATGTTAAAGCGATTGTTTAAGTCATATGGATTTTTGAGCTACTCTGTTTTATTTACTCCATCCGTCCCTTATAAATTTACCAACTTTCTTTTTTTGGATGTCTCATTAACTTTTAAGTAAAGAGTTTGTGGTCCAGTTAATTCTCTCTCCTCTTCACAAACTTCTACCACACAGTTTTTACTTTATTAATCCCCGAACCGGTCAAACTTGACAAAGTTATTAGGGACGGAGGGAGTTTATTTAGGGCTTGTTTGGTTTGTAGATGGGAGTACTATCTACTTTTCAAAGTATTCTAACACTTTGATGGTTGCACCTTGCAAGTGAAGATAAAAAATAAACTAACTACAAACACATTATTTAACTAATCATATAGATACTTCTAGCCTACGACTGACACACAGTTCATTAGGAAAACTAAAATCAATCCTTCCCTACCACCTAAAAGAACTTTTTACTTTTTCTTCCACTAAGTCCTGAATGCATTAAGACGTCTGTCTGCATTACGTTGTCTGTATGTATGAGATAACAAACTGCTTACTAAGTGTGTTGAATGAGAAGTCTGAATCATGTCAAATGATCAAATAACCCTCTTGACATCTAATATCTATCATTTCTAGAGATAGAAACAACCATTAATTATTAAATAAGTTCTAAAATTAAAGACCTAAATTTCTATTTAAACAAATCTGGGAGTTCGTCTATGATTTCCTCTATTCCAATAAAATTGAAAATGAGTGTTTGTCTATGGTTTCATTTGAATACGACCAGTATAATGTAAAGAGCGAAGATGGTTGTGTTTGTCGATGGTTTCTATTCCAATAAAATTGATCCAAGTATGATTTATGAAGGTAAGCAAGTGGATTGTCTGGGAGTTTCCTCTTGGTTCAAAATTGACGGGCAAATAGCACATACGGTGTTTTGAGCTGAGCATGTATGGAAAATTAAAAATAAACAATTGGAAAAGTAATCAAGAGAAAGATCAAATAGTGACAGTGTAGAGCTCCAAGTAACGAATATGTTTGCTTGAGAAGATGGCTGACCTTGCTCTCTTTTTCCGTCGATGGAGAACTCGATCTTCAAAGGGGACAAAAGAAACTATCAGCAAGGTTAAAAGAGAGAAATTAGTCTCTTCCGTGTCTGAAGGCTCGTCTGTAGCCGGAAGAGTGCCTTTTTTTTTGCTGAGCGAATAAGTCATATGTTTTATTAAGTTCTAAGTAAACACTAATTAATGAATGAATGGTTAAGTCATCAATCCCATTAAGTCAATTAAGTCCTAAGTAAACAGCCCCTTAATGTTCTTTGAACTCAGATGCTTTGTGATCCTCTCCAGTTTGTACTACCTATGCATTTGAAGAACTTTTAAATCTTCAATAACTGAATTTTTAGTCACTCTGATCTTATGATGCGGGAATGCGGGGTCTAACAAAACTTGTTCATATCCACACCACAAATCCCAATTTTCATTTAAGTTCATCAATGGCAAAAAAAACTGTGTTTTCAAAAGCTCAGCATTTGACTAGAACCTTTATGTACCTCATGTTGTCTTTTAATACAAGCTGCAAGTTACTAGTAGAGGGTGTGTTTGGGGTTGAATCTGTAATATTTTACTTATGGTCCATCGCAGGCATTCACGATTCTCCAAGTAAATTGGCACTGCACCACATAAATTTCTAAGAAAAAGGCTCACATTTTTGCATAAACAATAGGTTATATACATGGATCTTTTTTGGAGTGTGGATGTGATATGATATGTTTTGTGTCAAAATTGCTCAAAGCAGAAAAAATGGCGCATTTTTCTAGTTTAGGGGCTTGGTATCACTATCAATGGTTTCTTTTAGAATGTATGATAACGTCTCTCTTCTAAATGAAGGTGTATATATTGCACAATATAATTTTAGAAGGTACTCCCTCTGTCCTCATAATTTTGTTCCATTTTACCTTTTTTCGTCCGTCCCATTAAATTTGTCCCGTACCATATTTGGCAATATTTGGGTGATTAGAATTCATTCTTATTTTATTCACACTTTATCAATTCAATATCAATCATACAATTCCACTTTTTCTTAAAAGTAGTGCCACACCCTTTTGTCCCAAACGTAGTGTGACGGAGGTAGTATATGATAGCTGCTATATGATAGAAGGGCTGACATATTTGAAATCCAGTCAATTATTATTATATAATTAATGAGCTTGAGCTGGAAAAATTACCTGAACTGAAACGCTTAGACACATAAAGTTTCCATTCAGTCAATCCCTTCTTTTTCATACTACCTCCGTCCCAATGGACATTGCACTCTTTGAGTTAGGTGAGAAATAAGAATAGTAAAAATTGTGTAGTTGAGATTTGTGCAGAAAGAGAAATGCGCAGACTCATAAATTATTTTCTTTAATGAAAAAGTAACAAAGTTTTTTGGAACAACCAAAAAGGGAAAGTTGGCAAAGTCCGATAAGACAGAGGGAGTAATACCTCATATGCCGTTTCATGTCATCTCTGCTGCAAGTCTGGCACTATAAGAAACAAAGGAGCCGCCTTTAATTGTTGCTTGTAAGTTGTAAAGTTGTAATCATCAGAGTTAAGAGAACGAGATGGTGTCGGTGGTGCCGTTTTGGAGAGCAGCGGAGATGACGTATTTTAGGGATGGCCTCGGGCCGGTTCGGGCCCGGCCGGGCCTCGGGTCTGTTTTGTTGGGCCCGATCCCGAACCGGTTGCCACCGGTTCTGGGCCAGACCGGGCCGGGCCGGGCCGGGCCACCCGGTTAGTTTCTTTTTCCTATTCTTTTCTCCCCCCCCCCCCCCCCCTCCCCCCTCCCCCTCCCCCCTCCCCCCAAACCGGTCCTAAACATCAAGCCCAACTCAATAAAGCCCAAAAAAATGAAAAAAAAAATAGTTTTTGGTCCGGGCCCGACCCGGCCGGTTTGCCAAATACAAGGCCCGAGCCCGGACCCGCCCCCCACCGGGCCTAGGCCCGACCCGGACCTGGACCCGAGAACCGGGCCGGTTCCGGGCCCGCACAGTGGCGGGCCGGGCCGGTCCCGGGCTGCCCGACCCGGGTCCATGACTAACATATTTTCGGAACTTTCTCTTTCCATCCATATTTGGGATGGCAAGCATTTTTTTTGTTTTCTTCTTCTTTCTGAATTGATGTTTTGGATCCTAGATGTGGATACAAGTTTTTCTCAGCAGCTTGGGATGATGCCATATGCCCATATCAACCTAGGGATGGACTGGGATGGGAGCGGACCGGGACTGGGCGGACTTTGGGCTTAAGGATTTCAGGCCTCGTACCAACCCGAGTACTCGAGTAGTATATGATAGCTTTGTATATCTTACCAACCGGATTTCTTACCGACCACATAGGGGTAGGTAAGAAATACGCATAACACATGTCTTGAAACCCAGTAATTGTTATGAAAACAATATGTCCATAAAAACGAATAGAGTTGTGTCAATGGGTAATAGAATGGTTGTGATTGGTACAAGCGGAAAAAATGGGCTGCCGCAAAGATGTAGACAACAACAGTATTACAGTAGATATCATTTTACAAAACTAATCTAAGTAACATTTCACAACAACAAATGGGAATTGTGGCAGAGGCAGAGTCGAGCATTTATTAGTCAACTGTCTTTAGACTTGGCACCCCCTTCATAAGAGGATAGGAAGTACGCACTCTGATTCTTCTGCAGATGCTTGAGGAAATCCAGCAATATCTGTTGCAAGCTAATTAAAGTCTCCTCCTCAATCTTCACACAAGCTAGTAGCTCAGGCAACTTTACTACAAACCTCACCGAAAAACAGATGATTAGGGCAAGTTTATGAACTTGGAGTTTTTAAGCTTTTGCTTCCAAACTTCATAGAGTGGGTTTCCATAAAACCATGCAAAACAAATCCAGGACCCGCAAAGTAGGGTCTCGAAGAGTGACATGCACTCAGACCTTACGTCTACCCCTACAAGTAGAGAGGTTATTTAGAGGAAGACCCCAGCTATGGATTTTTTAGAGCTTTAAAAAATGCAATTTTTTAATACCTAGAAAATTGTAGTGAGATATATGAAGTACAAAAATGACATCTAAAAGGACAAATTTGGAGTGAATCGTAGTGGAACAAAAATGTGGACAACGGCAAACGAAGGCATAAAGCAACATCATACGGACAATTCAGAATAAGATAATATCAGAAAGTAAGCAAACAGCTAATGGCCAAAGCGACAAACAGCTCCATACCCCTCTTCCCCCCCCCCCCCCCCCCAAAAAAAAAGGAGGTTGCTCTATCAATATTGTGTGTTTCTGAAAAGAGTCATATTGAGTAAAGTACATCTTACATTCAGTCAACTCTATCAGAGTAGAAGCTTTTACATATCATGAGCGACCACTATACCCCTAAAACTTATTTCCAAGATTGTCTGGAGTAAGTAACTAAGGTTGCCGCTTGAGTTCATTGTTTTACTTAAAACTAAAGTTGACTTAAAACCGGTCATTTTGTAGACTAAAAGGTTTTGATGAAATAGGTCTTGTTTTTTGGTCCGGAGTATGTCAAAATTCTCATGAACATGTTATAAAATCCCGCCATCCCATCATGAGTTAAAAATTAGCATAGGTATGAGGCACTCCACAAACCCAAGTAACCTAACACAAGAAAATACTTCAAAAATGGATTTCTTTAGGCAATGTGCTGAAGTCCTAGGAAGTTTGTAGGACGTTCTAGGCGTGTTTGACCAGGACTTTTTGGTGGATATTGCACCTTTTGGTACTTGTATAGAAGTATTAGACACAAGTCACAATTATCTATTGAGATTTTTTTTTTCTTGGGCATTTTAGAATTTAGAGTAGGCATCTAGGCACCCTAGGTACATGTCTCAGCAGCTCGCAATTTCTGTAACCATGAATAAATCAAGAGCATGAGTGAACACAATAAAATGGCCCCCTCACTACATACCAAATAGGCGTAACAGATGTTCAGCACCGTATACACTAGATGGAGAGACATTATCTGAAACTATGCCGTGATATTGTTGGCGCTCCTCTTTGTACAAAAGTATAACTGGCAATGCTTTGTTAAAATACGACCTTATGCCTTTGATAATTTCTCCAACTGAATCAGCCATACTGTATAATTTTATGCATAAGAGAGGAGGAGAATCACCAAGTGTCTTTGAAAATGTGCAGTAAAGAAAATAGGCAGAACAGAATATTGGTAGAAACTGAACTAATACACGTTTGATATTTGTTCAATCTAATCTTCTTTATTTATTTCTATTATAAAAAGACTATAAATATAAACATTGTGTAATAATTTTAAACACAGTAATCAAATCTCAGTTTCCTTTGCATATTCTGAGGGGAAATCATGCACAAGAAAGTAGCTTTCTATACCATCTTTCCCCTTTCCCCATCATTTTCTGGGATTCAAACATACCCTAAAGGTTTCTACTTGAGGAATTTCACTACTCTTAGAAAGCACATGAGAAAGTATATTTGAAACAACAAGCCCAGATCTTTCACGCTCATCGTTCTTGCATCACTGCAAGGCAAAAACCTTTTGAACAAACTGAATATGCTGGGTTTCAACAAAAATCCAAAGGGTCTATTTGTACCAAACATGCAGCCTCTATACCATGGACCATGCTGGTTATGAGCATAACCAGTTACTCAGTTACGAACTAGAAAACATATTACTCAATCAATATGGAAGAAATCATCATTCAATTAAAGGTAAGCAAAACATGTAATCCTTGAAAGCAATAGAAACACTCACGCTCCATCCTTTTTTGATCGCAGTTCAAGATACTTCGTCAGCATATCATCAACAGTGGGAGATCGAGGAAGTTTTACAAGCTGAGAGAAAACAATGTGAAGTTTTTAGCCTGTAAAATAAGCAGTTTATACTCTAAATAAAAGTTTCAATGCCAAAAACTAGTGGCGTTTTGGACTCTTTTAGATCCATAAAAAAGACAAGGACAATGCACTATTACGAGGCGAACGAGTTCGTAAACCTCATAAGTGCCTGACTGCTTCCTTTACATGAACTGAGAGAGGCTACGTAAGTAGTACTACAGAAGATTAAAAACAGAAAAACCCACATACCACATTCTTCTTAGTAACAAACTCCCAGTCATCCACAAGTTGCTTCTTTAAAGTTGATGGAATTTGAATTTTAATGAGTTTCTCAGCAGATGCATTGCCCTTCTGTATATGACAAGCCAGATATTCGAAAGGGTAAGTGATATTATCAAAGAAAAGTTATGAACTAGAATCTGAAAACCAAAAAGAAAATTTGTCTTTATGTGTCTACTTTAAGTAAAAGTTAAGAATGTTTTATGATATGATCTGCGGTGCTTTGGCGTGCTTATTTTACATGGGTAGGCAGTGGGTGTGCAATTCTGGGTGTGGCAGTAGAAAGTAGGACCAAAGAGTTTAACTTCAATAAATAAATAATTTAAAATAGAAGTTGACCTCTGTAGCCGAATCAGCCTTCCGCTTTTTCCCTTTAGCAACTGCAGCACAAGTTCATTTGACAAAACATCTCTTAGAACCAGAGATGAATATGCGAACATTTACAAATAGTTGAACAGCTCAGATACCAAAATAATTTAAAAAATTGTATGCTTGCAAATACTACTCATACCATCTTAAAGATTTTCATGTGAGAAGAAATAAACACGCCTCAACAATTGGATGAAGAAAAAATACAAGATAAGGCATTAAAAAGAGACTCGGGACCAGTTAGCATGGATTACATGAAGAAACAAACATATACTAGTATCAGGTAACCCTCATCTGTGTAATTACTAAAACAGCATCAAAGGCAATGGTAGTGGCAACTTTAACAATTGTCTGAGAGCATCTCTTTGTTGGTAATTATAGGTTTATAGAAAATCTACTTTACCCAAGAAATTAACAAAACAAAAAAGTTTGAAAAACATAAATGACATACCATTGGTCTTCGTTTCCTCTTTATCCACATTTAGATCTGCCGAATCCATGAATGACAAAAACATCAAGCATATAAGTATGTATGTAATTATTTTCACTGAACAAACATATGATTCCCTTCTCATGAATGCATATTAATTATGGGAAGCCTAGAATATTCTTAAATGAGTACTCCATTAACGAGGTGATGTGAGTTTAACAAATTTTTAAGGTGGCAACCTAACTGCTTCGTTCTTATTTATAAGCTGGGGGGGGGGGGGGGTTAGAAATTCTATTTCAGCCAGGATATTAGAAGGATGATGTCTGTACGTCTTGTGCAAGGGCCAAGGGCAGTACAAAAGGAACGCAGAAGTGTTATTTGTTATTATTAGTTTCTTTCTATTACTTTTAGTAAATGTTATCATTATTAGTATTAGTTACATTTCCCTCTAAGTGCTGATATATTGAGTTAATATTGCTAATAGTTACTCCCTCCGTATTGATATGTTTGCTACACTTTCCTTTTGGGATGTATTTTAAATTTTGCTACACTTTCCCTTTTTGGTAAGTTTTCCCTTTAAAAATACTCAATTACCCTTACTTTTCTACTTTTTATCTTCTCCTTCATATATGCCCAACCTCTCTCCTACTTTTTCAGTTTTTCTACACTATTCATTACCCATACTACTTTTCCCTTAAATATTGTGTCAAACCCTATTGTAGCAAGCATTTCAATACGGAGGGAGTAGTTGTAGGTTTAGGGTTACTCTACTAGTTCACCAAAAATCTTAGGGCTAGCATAGATAGAGGTGCTCTATTCATTAAAAATTATCATTAATAATTATCATCAATAATTTTGGAGTAATTCCTTCATCTGAACGGTCCAACGCCACCTTCTCTTACCCAGGGCAGGGAAGTTCTTTATCTTTATTGATTTCAATCATCCTTCTTCATCCCACAAGAAATCATAGGAGCTACAAAGAATGTAAAAAAGAAAACATACCATGGTTAATAGAGTCATCTTTTTCATTTCTCGGATCTGTCGAATTCAAGCACAATGCATTCACAATTAACTATATAAATAAATGAAATTGTTTTAAAAATTATGTCATATACAACACAGAAAATTGTATGAAGAAACTGCTAATCTGAAGTAAGTACTCATTTTTCCTCAGAGTTCATAAGTTGATATTTGATACTCCCTCCGTCACATTCTAATATTTTTTGTTCTTACATTATATTTTGATTTCCATCACTTGAAATGGAGCCAAAGATTCACTATTTTTTGGCTTGAGAATATGATGGAATAAAGCAAAATGGCTCACTAAACTGTCCGCGCTTCTTTGTTATGAAAGAGCAGTCAATCCATGCAATTTTGGACGCGGACTATGGGTCATCCGGAAACAGTCTCTCTGTGCTTTAGTACATGGGTAAGACTGCGTACATCCGACCCCCCTTACCCCACCATAGGTGGGAGCCTTTGCGACACTGGGGTGATGATGATGATGACATTATATTTTGATTCGTCCCAAAATACTCTCCATGTTTCCTTTTAAGGATAAGATTGTGTTCTATATATTGTTTCTTTTCATTTTAAATGCACCTCAAACACACAATTTGATACTCTTAAACTTTGTGCTCACTAAAACAATAACATAAGATAGGAATGGAGGGAAAAGCAAAAGTAGGGTCATGAAGCAGTTATTGTGTTTTGCTAATACACAACAACAAAATCGGGCAACTGAACAGTTGAAAATATACCAGCTGAGTTTCTATGTTTTGGCTGTGATGAACGCCCCTGTTTTGCATTTTTTTCCACTCCCTGTTTCTTGTCAAGGGCCTGTTGCTTACTTATATTCTCATCTGTAAGTTTCATCAAGCGATCAGTGCCTACCCACTCATCCCAACTGCGGCAAGATAATTATTACGCTTTAATAACTCATCTGATTAAGTGAATTTTGCGAATGCTCCGGATTCATTGCAACCTTGAAAATCAGAACGAAACTACGAAAGTGGTAGTCTAGAAACTGTTGCAGTCAAAACACATGAGATATACTTACTTCTTGTTCCACCCCTGCAAATACAGATGAAACTCATTACATGATGGAACTCGTATGAAGATTATGCACAGAAAGGTTAAAGAATGCAAAATTTGTGGTTTATATGCTTCCTGAAAAGGAAGGCCTGGTGGTGGTTATAACTTATATGGAGAAGTTAATAGCACTTACCAAGTAGTGAACAAAATATCTCCATTCATTCTCCCTATGCTCAGATTTTTGGACCTTCAAATTACAGTAAAACACATCACGAGATAGGAAGATATTCCAAAATGGAAGCATGCTGGATATAAACATTTGAATAAAAGCACTACAAGCTGGATGTAAACTCTTGAATATGATGATTTCTGGAATTCGGTTGTATCAAGTTTAGTTTGGTTTCTGTTATGAGCAGGTAGGATTATTGTCCAAGATCTGAGAGAAAGAACGAAAGAGAGCCTTTTTGGTTTAAGGCTTAATGTAGAACTAATGGGTGCCTTAACTCCCTAAAAAGATACTAAGAGGTCCCTTACATACCCATTACAAGAGACCTAATTATAATAGGAAACATAAAGCTAATAAAAGCTCACTAAAAGTAATAAGGAAATAACAATTATAATATGAAAATGAAATTAAAACTCCCCAGATCCCATGAGTGATCGGAAGGAAGGTGGATCTACATTGTATATTTGTATCTCACCTGAACCGCTCCATCTATCCCCTTGCAAAAAATTGTTAGTACTAGTTATAAACTTATAATACTCCATCTGTCCCAAAATGATGTTCCTATACTTTTTGGGTTCAAATTACAAGAAAGGCGTGGTAGAATGCCCCGTACACCCTTACTTTATTATATTGTTCACTCCTTTACATTTATTGTTCATAAAAAGGGAGAGTATAAATGGTAATCTACTTTAATTTCTTTACCAAAAACATAAACGGGACTATCATTTTGGGATAGCCCATTTAGAAAATATATGACCATCATTTTGGTATGGAGAGAGTATAATACTAATAGGAAGATTCCTTCCATAATACTTCTCTATGTCCTCTTGCGCAACCCTCACAAGAGACATGTTTAAATCATTACTCCCCTAAAGAATATCAAGCTTGTCCTTTAGATAACAACAACAACAACATCCAAGCCTTGTTCCATAAAGATTTCAAGCTTGTCCTTTAGAAAAGAGTAATATTGAATGCCAAGCTTATCTAGACCAAACGCCATCATTTGGTATTTAGGACACAAATAATCACATGAAAACATTTAGTGATGTAACGATTGATGATCTTGATGGCTGCCTCAAAATACCAAGGCAGTTTTTCCTCATTGACTCTCCAATGCCTTCATTCTTAAATTACATACAGAGAGCTATTAGCAATAGTGAGGTATAGAGTAGTTAGACTGAAGTTATAGCCAACCATGGCAGGATGGCCACTACTGGCATGGGCAAAGAGGGGGGTTGCTAGTGAATATTGCTGCAAGGTGAATATCTGCAGGTATGGCCACTTTGCTAAAAGATTTGACAAAGAAAATGCATAGGCTTTTCTGGAAGAGGTGGGGGAGTTGAAGGTTACTGGTATGAGTGGTATCTCTTCTAGATCTGCAGGTATAACTAAAAGTGTGGCATTGGTCCACATTACTGCTCATCATTGTTGCAGAAGCAAGAAGATGGCATAGGCTCTTCTAGCAGCGGTGTAGGAGTTGAGTGCACTGAGATCTCTTCTAGATCTGCAGGTATTGCTACTAGTTTGGAGTCACTACTCATCATTGTTTCAGAAAAACCACTGAAGGGAACGTCTTGGTCCTCTTGGATACCAATTTGTTATTAGCATTTCAGAATGAGGTAAAGAATGAAAAAGAGTATTTAGGAATATGCTATGTGAAACTAATACTTAGTCAAGACAAACAAGCACTATTTCTCCGAAAAATAGTTTAGCATATAAGGTCCTTTATAGATATTCAATTTAGAAAATACAAGAGTCTTAATTATAATAGCAAAATAACATCAATAAAGCTAATAAGAAGCTGACTAAGCGAACAAGGAAATACCAACGCTAATATGAATATGAAACAAATAGGGAGTAGCAAAATTACCAAACACTAAGACTATTTGTAGTGGTTGGGTATTAGGAGTCCAAAATGTTAAAGATGGAATTTTTGGACTCCTAATTCCATGTAGTGGTAGTTCATAATAGGTAGTAAAAATGGAAAAGGGGATGGAGGGGAGTAAATATAGAGGGAGATAGACTCCCAAGGCTAAAACATATGGTGGACATGCGTGGAGGAGAATAGGAGAGAGGAAGTGTGGAGGTATGACTCCATTATATAAAAACGTTGTGTTTTTTTAAATGTATTATAACTTTTTTATTGTTAATCTAAATTTTATAAAAGATATACTTTATCAAAATTCATGAATTTTTATGATCTTTCATATGACACCAATATGTAATATATATATAAAAAATGAAGTTTTAACTGTTGAATTTTTCTTGAGCCTACAAAACACGAAACACAAACTTTAAATTCATGGAGCCTTCACAAATAGCAGAATATTCCATAATCGAACTTTACTTGAACTAAATTCATTTTTTGTTAATCGAAAAACCTTAAAAAATTAATGAAGTTTATTTATTTTTATACCGAAATGTGTATTTTTTATTTCATAATTATTCAGGGAAAAAATTAGAAGGAAAACATTACTTATAATAAATTATTTAATGTTTTATTAAACTGAATGTAAAAAAAATATGCCGAGTGTATTTTATTGACGATGCTGGATTGCAGGAAAATAGGAGTCAAAACATTGTTTTCATAATACTATTAGACCACTCCAAATGGTCTAATAGTACTAAATTAGTAATTAGTTCTACCTAATTACTAATAGAAAACTAATAATAATAGGACAATTACTTCCATACTACTTCTCCATGTTAATGCGACACTCATAGTCTCACACAAGCACTCGCCCATCGGTTTCAACTTTCAACACATGATTCAGACTGAGAAACTGAAAAAGGTTTCCATGAAAATACGTGCATTTCTGAGTCTCAGAATTTCCAAATCTAGGGCTTCACTTTTACTAAGCACGTTCCTCGAAAACACTCATTGTTGCAGCCTATGTAGTTTTTAGAAAGAACTCTTAATTGTCACAAAGAAATACGATGATACTCATCCATACCATGAATGAACAGCTTTAGGATTTCACATTATGAATGAACAGCTTTGGGATTTCAATTACGCCCTAATTAAACTACACTATATACTCACCAAGAACGAAATTAAATTCTATGAAATTACAGTACTCTTCTGTAACACTCCAAGAGATTCTCCGAATATAATAAACATCAACTTTCCGCAGTGAAATTATTATCAATGTATGTTTTGATAATTTCTGGGCTCGTGAAGAAGAAAGAGAGGCTTGCCTTAGCTTTGTAGATGCGAGGGCCATGGTAAGCGAGAACCTTTTCTCCTTCGGAGTATAGGCTGGAATTCGAGATCCGGACGCCAGGAGAGTTGTCGCTATCCGTGGCAGATGCGTCCTTGGAACTCACCATTTTTATTCGAATTTCACATAAAGTTCTTCAATTGTTCAACGGTTTGCACAGGCACTTCGATCTTATTGCAACACCGCCGTTGTCATGGATGGCTGCTGCAGTGCTAAATTTCCTGCAAAAATCGCCAACGGTTATCCGTTTCTTTCTTTCTTTTCCAAATCTTGGTGTTCCAAAATATGCGATGGGGGAAAACTGTAATACACACGACCTGTTCTGTCCAGTCGTGGAGGATCCAAACGACGGGTTCTAATACGCAGAAGGTTAAGGAAGTATAACTACTATCGTACCCGTGCGATGCGTGGGACAAAATAAATTATATAATTGTTTGATGACACATTCGTAGTAGAGAAAATTATCTGGGATATTACTAAAACACAACCTCTTTCCCAATCTATGACTCGGTCAGTTTTTTTCCCTAGGCTACCATCCGTATGTTGTGCATGGTGCAATTTTTTTTTTAATTTCCACGCATGCCCTCTATTTTAATTATGGGAAAGAGTTATTTACCATATTTTTGTGGCAGTCATATCCATTGTGAAAGGAAACGGTAGATACATGCATGACTTCTTATTAAATGCTATTCATATAATTAAGGAATATTTTTATGTATGGGAACTGCTCCCATGTTTTACGTATTAGGTCTCTCCCCATCTCCAAAGTCACGATAACCGTTCGATACCTTTCTACGCGTAGCCATGGAGTCCATTCCTGAAAATGCACCGGAAATGTGGATATTGGTTAGGTTCGATGGAAAATGGGTAACAAATACTTTATTTTCTAGTCTTCACGTCTCTGGCATTACTATACCGGCAAATTCTATTTTCTCTTTTCTTCGTCCGGGTTTGTTTTCTGTTGTGGGGGAAAATATGTAGGGAAGAATATTATTGTGATTTCATAAGTGTTCACTTCTTGCCCTCCTCTGGTCATGGTGTGTGATGACAACACAATGACACATTACAATTTTATTTGCAATTGAAGAGCATGCAGAACGACCCAATGTGAATGCCTTTGTGTGTGGAAATCGTAGATGATGATCTTCAACACGAAGCCAACATCTCTATGAAGAAACAGACTGGAATCATTTTACCGGTGAAACGGATCAAAATACCACGCTTCCCAATGATAAACTTACTGCGTATGTCAGGGCATGCTAAATTTACTGCCTATGTCATTAACAGCCTATTATGAAGTGTCGTTGCCATGTATTCCAATGTAGTTACTGTCCATGCATTTAATGACCATAACGTAATTATTGTCTTCGTATGCATTTACTTCCATTTTTTCCTTTACTACTTATTTCGTTTACTGTTAATTCCATTTACTGCCTCTATAATTTACTGTCTATTATTTAATGTGTGCCCTGTATTGCCATATTCTTACTGCCCATGTAGTTCATGCCCCGAAACAAAGTTATTGTCTTCCTATGCATTTACTTGTAATTTTTTCTTTACTGCATATGACGTATTTAATTTACTGATCACATGTAGAATACACCGAATATAATTTTTTTTTGTGATTTTTTTTGGATTAGTATTTTTTCTCCATTTTTTAATGATTTATTGTCCGTTATTACACTGGTTTTTACTTTCTGTCTTTGCATTTACTGCCTTTATGTTTACCACAATGCTGACTTTTATTACTGCACTTTCATAGTTTGAAAATCAAAAGCACAACTCAATATACAACCAATGTTAGCACTCATCACTCTGCTAATAGTGATTACATTTAAGGACCATGATTTATTGTGAAAATAGAATCACGTGTGTGTTCCAAACTTACTGCCTTCAATTCACAGTTTAGTTTGCCGCCATCTTTTTCCACCATAGCCTTCATACTATTGTTGGGCAGTTTCTTTTTATGCGCAAAGGGTCCTCTTTAAAATACGATTCCAGTAAAAAAAGTTGAATCCTTCAAGGATTCCACTATACTTGCACACTCTTCTTAAATGCTATCTAAGAGATCTGCCCAAACAATCCCCCCCCACGGATTACATTGATATCTTCTAAATTATCTACCAAATTAATGTACTCGAATGGAAACTTGGTGGATGGTTGGTTACATAATACATAGCTCCTTAAAATATGCAACAACCCAAGCTTAACCGCGTCTAATGGATACTTCCCAGTAGTCTTCAACCTAATGCTCTGAAGATGCTCTTAATCTCACCGCGCTCAACACTACTTTGATCAGGGAAGTACCTACTCCATATTTATCCATTCATGTTGGTTTGCAGAGGTTTCTTTGTGCCAAATGAAAGCCCTGTAATTAGTGCCAAATCTGCCTAGAAAATACCCAAACACGCTCTTCCTAAACTCTGGACTATCGGTATCACTTAAATTTTCTTTAAGGGTCTTTAATGCCTCATGTGGATTGCAGTAACAGTTAATCTTCACCTTCTTTTTTGTTAAAGCCACTGCATCAACACGAGAATATCTCTCATACTCCTGCACATTCAAAAAGGTTAGAGTTACTCATGCACATTCAATAAGTTCACCTTTACTCCATTTCCCATGCCTTAAATATCACTTAAAGTAAAATAAGCCCAAAACACACTGCCCTAGCCATTATCATGTACTACATATCATAAATTTAATGCCTACTACTCTCCCTCTGCTTTATTCAATTACAAATTAATGCCCTTTCCCTAGGTTTCTCATGCACCCGTTAATGCCTGTACATTGTCCACAACTAAACACACAACAACAGCAACAACAACAAAAATCAGCACATTACTACCTCTTCTATCGGGCATTACTATTGTACTCCATGTATTAATGCCTAAACATATCACTTCACCTCAATTAACCCCAATCAACATTGCCCTAGCCACTATGATGTAGAACATACTCTACCCTTAATGCCCAATCCCCATTCCTTAATTAATGCCCTTTCCCTTGATTTCACAATTTGTCTACTTCGTTCCCTACTCCAAACAACAATACAAATGCTCTAATCTTTTTCATTCCACACCATAATGCCCACCAAATTTCACACACCCGAATTTCAATTTCAACAACATCAAAGAAAAGAAAACGTAATTCGATAAACATTTAGGAATTACCACGCCGGTCGAGTGTGATTAAATTCGCGTCGGAAGTAGAATTGGTGCCGCCCTTTGCAGTCACTGCCTCCTTTTGAATGCCGTCATTCACCGGCGCTAATTTGGCCGTCTTCGTCATCACCCGCTGCTTTACTTCAAACCCTACTCATAGAATTCGGCCGTCTTTCTTTGTACAAGGAAGTTGTTTCCTTCTTGCTCTCTAGAGTATTAATGCTATGCACTCCGTCCCTAAGAAATCGCAGCATTTCCGTTTCAATTTTAATTTCCATTTGGGTTTGTACTCTGCACTTACGACAAATTGAGGAGGGCAATTTTGTCTTCTAATTTTATATTATAACTGCACCGTACTAGCATACATACATACCTAGTCATATAAGCGGAAATTCTAACTTCTAGTCGTACTTTGAGAAAGTAGACATGTTTTAGTCATATTCTAAAAAAATTCCCTTCGTAGTATATCTGTATATGTACGCATTAATGTGAGATACGTAGTATATTGATTCTTTGAGCATCAAAGCACATACATTTCTATTCATTCTAAGAGTATGAAGTACATTTATATTATGATAAAGAAGCATTTGTGAGTGATTATAATGAGTGCACCAAGCATTCCAGCTCAGCTGGTTGTGAGATTATCGTGCCTAATGGGAGGTCTCGAGTTCGAATCCCGCTAAACACATAAGGGTTGAAACTCAATGAGGTTACCGTGCCCTGATTACTCCAACCTCCCCCAGACCCCCTCCCCCCTCTCCCAGACCCCCTGGAGTAAAAAAAAAAAGTGATTATAATAAGTGCGTATACTCCTTATAAACTAAAAACATGTATATACACAACATTATTTTCTGTGTAGTAATGGGGCTTTTAGAAGAAGTTCATCCACCTTGTAACCAAATGATCCTTGTATTCTAGTTATAGCTAAGATAGTACGTACTATGTATTAAAATCTATATTGATTTGGGATTTAGGGAAAAAAAATCTTTGGAAGAATTTAACTTTACACCTCATTTTGAATGATATTGGATTTTGTACTCCATTTTCAAAATCATTAATGTGTACATCTCATTTGCCCTAAAACATGAAGGTGTTATGTGTAAAGTCAAATAATTTTATAGTGAATTAGAATGCATATATTAATGATTTTGAAAATATGGTACAAAGTCAAATATAACCCAATTTTAGGTGCAAAATCAAATTCTCTCATACTTTCGTACGTATGATATAATGATTTGACATGGCTAAAATCTATATCAAAGTGCTATCAAAGTGCTCAGTTAGAGTGGTCAATAATCGCAACAAAAATGCCCAATTATAATAAGGGACGACTCCATGTTTTCTTTTACATTGCAAGACTGATCGATCGATTCCCCAAGATAGGTTTTACTACGTATATTTTTATTCGTATATTATGGCTTAGAAAAAAAAACTATGGTTTAGAAAATGTAAATTATGATAGGTGATGCCGTGATGGGACCTGATTTAGGTGCCTGCAGATTACTTAACATTCACAGTGGGCAGAAATGTTTTTTTTTAATTAATTTAGAATAGAAAATGAAGGTATGATCCCCTCTTACCCTCTACATCTCCAACTTATCATAATCATTTCATTATTTTACGTACTTCCACGCAAAAGATACTTACATTTATACTTTCATTAAAGGGAAAAGTGTCAAATAAGTCCACATACTATTGTGAAAAAGTCAATTGAGTCCACCTAGTTTTGTTCAATCAATTAAGTCCTCTAACTCTCAAATTTAACCAATCTTTCCATTTAAGCGGTTACCAACCGGTAACCCTCCCATATTGATGAAGTGGAAGCCACCTGGGCATTTTTTTAATTATTTTCATTTTTCTTTTCTTTTATCTTTTTCTCTTAATTATTTCCCCCTTTCTCTGGTTCGTGACAGCCCCTGCTTCCCCCTTTCTTCTCCCCCTTTTTCTTCTTGTCTTTTTCTGTACTCCATCTTTCCTGTCTCTCCCTGTGGCATGTACAGACCTCCTTCCATTTTCTCCCCCCCCCTCCCATCTCTCTCTGCAACACTTCCCCTTCCTTTTCCGTTTTGTCTTTTTCATCATCCTCCCTAGTTCCTCCCTCCCCTCTCTCACCAGACACCAGTCAGGCAGTCACCATGCGGTACTTCCCTTTCTCCCCCCCCCCCCTCCTTTTTCCCTTTTCTTTCTTGTTAATTCGATGGTTTATTCCTTTCCATTCTTCTTCGTTGGAACCTGGATTGCGGCCTTCGAAATCGAAGAGATCTTCCATCTGCAAAATCGAGTCTTAATCGACGGCGGACGGCGGCAGCGCGTGATAGGAAAGCAGGGGAAGAGAAATAATTCGGAAAAGAAAAGAAAACGAAATGGAAAAGAAAGAAAGAAAGAAGGCATTGCTAAGTCCATGGAAGAGGGAAGAGAAAGAATGTAAGAAACGGGAAGAGAAAAAAACGGGAAAAGAAATGGAAAAGAAAGAAGAGAGAAGAAAGAAGCCATTGTTAAGTGCAGGGAAGAGGGAAGAGAAAAAACGGGAAAATAAAGAAAGTAAAAAGAAGATAGAGAAAAGGCCACATGTACCTCCACATCAGCAACCACCGGTTCTTCTCATCCACCACCGGCTAAAAAGCCTAATTGACTAAATTTTAATAGTTAGTGAACTTAATTGATTCATTTTAATGTATGTGGACTCAATTGACTTTTTTTTTTCAAATTCATAATTATGTAGTACGGAGTATTAAAAAATACTATAGAGCTCTTCTAAAACCAACTTTTAGCATGACGGCGTGGATAATAAATAGACAGGAAATTGAACATCATGGAAGTAAAGTTTCCTTCATAAAATTGTTTTAAAGATGACCTTTGATGAAAAAGATCTTGAAAACACATGTGATAGCTGAGATCTCATTATTGTTTTATGCGTGACAATGAAACTCCTAGATATTGCCTTGATAAGTATTTCCATGAATTATTTCACCCTGCCTATTCAAAATAAAGAAATTTCGTAAATATAATCTAAAAATAAGTGAAGAATCTGTGAAATAATGTTGTCTTTCTAGAATTAAAAAATTCAATCGACCGAACATATGGTGCACGTTTACAGTATAACCTCAAAATCATGAAAAATCCAATCCAATGGAGTTTGTTGAGGACATGGTTTGTTGCGCGGCAGAAAAAATTCCGCAACATCATTAAGCTTTTCTTTCTTGCAGTAACTTCATAATTTTAACCGGACGATGAATGAAATTTGATGCTAAAGTTAGTGTTTTATATACACTTATTATACAGCATCACCAGTCGGTTATCCATGAGAGAGTGGCCTATGAACGTGGAATTGATTTTCAAAACTGCAGAAAAAATTGCTTTGTAAATGCTTTAAACTGCCACATCTAATATACACGTGATGCAAGACACCAACAATTTTTCGGCAAAATAGACCTGGCGGGAACAGTTATTGGACTGACGGTCCCCTTTTTATATATATAAAGATTTATTCATATTAAATTTCTAAGCTAAAATTTCAATAATTTTATTGAAATGAAGCTAAAATTTATTCCTGAAATTTCTAAGTTAAGGAAGGTATTCAAATGAATTCTTGAAAATAACTGCGCTATTTAACTGCTCAGTTATCTTCAAGAATTCATTTGAATGTCTTCCCGGTTAAAGTTTTAGCTGAAATTTGGTATGAGTAATTGGACTTAATAAATAAAATGCTAAAAAAAAATCATCAAAATATTCCACCGGGAACCGCCCCAAATGGAGACGGTCGGACAGAACCTCCTATATAAGGGCTTATTTAACTTTTTATGTAAGTACAAGGGCCTATCTGATCCTTTTCCCTTCAAACTAGGACCTGTTTTGTCATCTGTATTACTTCCTAAGTGTTTGTAGTAAAATAGTAGGGGTAATAAATAATGTAGAAAAAGTATGAGAGATAGTGAAAAAGTATGAAAGAGAAGATAAAAAGTAGAAAAAGTAAGGGTGGTTGAGTATTTTTAAAGAAAAAACTGACCAAAAGGAGAAAGTGTAGCAAATTTTTGAATACAACCAAAAAAGAAAAGTGTGGCAAACAAAAAAATACGAAGGGAGTATTTCGTTTTAATAATATTAATATTTTATCATTAATTGGTAAATTTGTATTTTTTTACATTTAGGGTTGGACGAATCTATTTTTTGTGGAGAATTATAAAAGTATGTTGTTCTTGAATAACGTTATCTAAAAATTAGGGGTGGGCGCGGTCCGGTTCGGTCCGGTATTTGACAAAACCCGTACCCGGACTGTTACTATTGAAACGGTTCGGTTCGGTTCGGTTGTAGACCCAAACCCGTTCGGTACGGTTCCAATTTCAAACGGTACGGTACCATGGCATAACAATACCAAACAATGCCACTTTTTTGACAAAATAAAGTTTAGTCATAATCCAAAAATCCACACAAATTTCCGACAAATGTAAGACTTTTGGGCAAGCGGGTTTGAGTCAGCAAACTGTTTGACTTTTGAGTATTTTTTAGATGGGCTAAACATATAAATACGGAGTAAAAAGTAAGACAAATTGGGCTGGGCTTCACCCTATGAAGATCTTCCCCTGCAGGCACATACAACGAATTAGTAAATATTATATAAACGTATACAAAGTGGCAAAGTGTAAAGTGGAAGGAGTCATCAAATTATATACATATACAATAATTATAAATTATTAATTATATAAATACTAATTCAGTCCGGTACCGGTTCTCATTTTACGAGAACCGGTCATGGCATGGTTTGGAACCAGTACGGTCCGGTTCGGGACAAAAATTTCGAGAACCATTTTGAAACCCCGTTATTCGATACGGTACCATATCGGCCCGGTTCGGTAGCATGCCGGTTCGGTATTTTTGCCTGCCCTTACTAAAAATAGCTTTAGGAAAATTAAAATGAATGATAATAAATCAGAATGCCTTTTCACGTCTATGTCCCACCTAAGCCCACCTAGGCTTCAAAGGCTTAAGGCTTGGGCGTGTCGGCTCCACACGCCTTACGCCTTTTAGAACATTAAGTAGTTAATATAATTTCTCTGTATTTAGTTAATAGTTAATTATACACACACACACATACATGAGAGAGAGAGGGTAGTCTTCCTGTCCAGACGGCCTGACGGGAACCGCCGTCCGAATTAGGGCATTTCAGGCCCTTCCCGATGGAATTTTTTGATGAAACTTTTTGAGCATGTTCTTCATCAAGTCTAGTTTATCCATACAAAATTTCAGCTAAAAATTCAATCGGGAAGACAGCCAAATAAATTATTTAAGAATACTACGCAGTTGATATATATAAACAGCGCAGTCTCTTTCAAAAAATAATTTGACTGCCTTCCAGATCAAGTTTTAGCTGAAATTTTGTATGAGTAAACTAAACTTAATGAAGAACATGCTCGAAAAAATTTATCAAATAATTCCATGGGGAAGGACCCAAGGTGCCCTCGGTCGGACGGCGTTTCCCGTCAGGGCAGCTGGACATGAAAGTTTGTCTATATATATATATAGGAAAACTTTCCAGTAAGGTATACCTTACCGGAGCTGCCGTGCGGCCTCCACGTTTTGAGGGCCTTCCGGTGGAATTTGTCGATGAAAATTTTTGAGCATGTTAGTCATCAAATCTATTACATCCATACCAAATTTCAGCAAAAAATTCAATCGGGAAGGCAACCAAACGATTTTTGGAAGATAACTGTGTTTTATATGTATATAAAGGGTGCAGTTATCTTCCAAAAGTCATTTGACTACCTTCCCGATTGAATGTTTTGCTGAAATTTGGTATGGATGTACTAGACTTGATGAAGAACATGCTCAAAAAATTTCATAAACAAATTCCACCGGGAAAGCCCTCAAAACGTGGAGGCCGCACGGAGGCTCCGGTAAGGTATATATATATATATATATATATATATATATATATATATAGAGAGAGAGAGAGAGAGAGAGAGTAATCTTCCGGTCAGGTATACCTGACCGGAGCCGCCGTCCGGCCTCCTCCTTTTGGGGGCCTTCCCGGTGGTATTTTTTGCTCAAATTTTTTGTGTATGTTCCTCATCAAGTCTAGTTCATCCATACCAAATTTCAGCCAAAAATTCAATCGGGAAGATCGTCAAATGATTTTTGCAAGTTAACTGGTCCGGAAAATACATATTCCGGACCAGTTAACTTGCAAAAATAATTTGACGACCTTCCCGATTGAATTTTTGGCTGAAATTTGGTATGGATGAACTATACTTAATGAGGAACCTACACAAAAAATTTGAGTAAAAAATACCATCGGGAAGACCCCCAAATGGAAGAGGCCGGACGGGGGCAGTGGTCAGGTATACCTGACCTGAATATTTCTCTCTCTCTCTCTCTCTCTCTATATATATATATATATATATATATATATATATATATATATTGTAAAATTTTATATATGTTCTTTGTTATCATATACTTCCTACACACTAAAATTTATATATATATATATATATATATATATATATATATATATATATATATATATATATTGTAAAATTTTATATATGTTCTTTGTTATCATATACTTCCTACACACTAAAATTTTGTTTGAAAGGTATATGTAGTAATGTATTACTTCAATCTCTCTTAAATTAAGGATGTTTTTTTGGACTGGAATTTGCTGGTCTGGTCTGGTCTATTCTGGTAAATGTCTGGTCTCTGTGTATTTTATTACTACGGAAGCCTGGTCTGATATGGTCTTGTATGGTCTGGTATGATATGTTCTGATCTGGGACCGAAAACATCCTAAATGTGTCTAATAAGCCATTTGGCAACACTGTTTTTCGGCTTATCAGCCAATTTTTTCATGTGACGAGGAGCGTATCCAAGGACATGTGTCGCACAGAGAGGAATGCGCACCTAATGATAATTTTTTTCTCGAAATTCGCACTGTTTCTGCGGCAGTCGTTACCTCGAGTCCCGCGAACTGCCATCAGCAGGCAACCATCATATCAGGAACGTCTTCGTGTGGGGCTCGGCGAGGACAGTTTTACTTCCTTATGTCCCGCGCACGTTCGGAACATCAGAAGTGGGGGACTTGTGTTGGGATAATGGCTCAATGCTGGGAATCGGCCCATTACCCCCTCCGGAGGACGAACGTCTAGGCCCATCAGGGAAGAAGGCCCAGACGAAAGTCTATGATAAACCGGAGGCAGTTATTCATCAGGGACCAAGGCAACTACGACGTACGTCTCTACTTCAGGCACTCAGCTCAAGAGGTCCTAGCCCCAGGGTTAGCTAGCATACTCCCATGCCAACAGCCAGAGGACGCACAGCCTCCCACCCTTGGTAACATCAACAAGAACAGGTCCAAGGCCCACGGGGACGCTCGTCCCCAAATACTGGGCAGGAAACCAAGATTCTGCCGAGAAACACATTTAATGCTGGAGATTTGGTGGTTGAGACCTCAGACATCCACAGCTCTCCCATGTCAACATATTCACCTGCCCCTTGGTAGTATAAATAGTACTCCCTCTGTCCCTTAAAACTGTGTCTACTTTCCTTTTTTGGATGTACTATTAACTTTGTCACTTTCCTTTTTAAGTAAAGAATTTGTGGTTGCAGATAATTCTCTCTCCACTGCACAAACATTTACCGCACAGTTTTTACTTTATTAATCCTCGTGCCAGTCAAACTTGGCAAAGTTTTAAGGGACGCATGGAGTATCATTTATTTTATTGTAAATGGTTGACAAGTTACCCGCCTTAACATTCTAGCATTCTTATAGCTCATAGCAGTGTTCGCAGCTCTTCTACTTGTGAAGTTGACGAACGGTTGTTGGCCAATAGCAATAGTGTGTTGTAACACGTCCTTATTATCATTTAATAACAGTCGTCCACTACTGCAGATACTTCTAAGCTGATCTTACTTGCTATTATTCCATACACACACTCGCCACTCGAAATCCATAGGTTACGTGTTGGGCCTACGGGTTGAAGAAATAAACCTCAATATTATCATGTATGAGCATTTTCAAACTAACTTGTTTATGCAAGTACAATCCAACTTTTAATTATTTTACTACGTATTATTTATAAATGACAAAGAAATAATAATTACTTTATTATGCATGTTTTTTATATGATTTTTTTAAAGAAAAAGCCGTGACTTGATATGAATGTTACTCTTATTAAAAAATTCAATACAATATTCAAAGAGCAAAAAAAACTACTTTAGAGCAAATATCA